TGGATTCTAGCTGTTGTCGTGGGTTTTGTGGGGTTTGTTACTGTTTTTGAATCTGGGTGCCCTTGTGTTTGATGTGTAAATGTTTAGGCCGGAAATATCCTTTAATGAGTACTTAGTGTCCTTCCCTATCTCTTCTGATTAGTTTTGGTTTGAAGTCTATTCTGTCAGATATTAAAAAGCTACCCCTCTTGTTTCCTTGGTCCATTTGTTTGGAATACCTGTTTCCCGGCTCTTACCTTTAGACAACATCTATCCTTGATGGCGAGGTGTGTTTCTTGAATGTTGCAGGCAGATGGGTCCTGTTTTCTAATCCAATCAGCTAGTCTGTGTCTTTTCAGTGGGGAATTGAGAACATTGATATTGTGAGTTATCAGTGAGAAGGGTTTACTGATTCCTGTTATTTTATTGTTGTGGTATGTGTGTGTTTTCTCTTTGGATTTACTACTCTGGGATTATTTATTGCTTGCCTCTTGGGTGTGGTTAACTTCTTCAGAGTGAAGTTTTCCTTCCAGTGCCTTCTGTAGAGTTAGATTGGTAGATAGAAATTGCTTAAATTTCATTTTGTCATAGAATGTTTTTAATTTCTTAGTCAATGTGATTGATAGTTTTCCTGGGTGTGATAGTCTGGACTGGCATCTGTGACCTCTTAGAGTGTGTGGGACATCCATCCAGGCCCTTCCAGCTTTTATAATCTCCATTGAGAAGTCAGATGTCATTCTAATATAATGCTTTTATATGTGACTTGGGTTTGTTTTTTCCTCGAAGTTTTTAATATTCTTTTTTTGTTCTGTATATTTATTGTTTTGGTTATTTTATGTCAGGGGGAATTTCTGGAGTTAAGACATTTGAAGTATTTCTTGGTGTAGACATCTGGTCTCGTCTTTGTTGGGTGGGTCTTCTGTTCTGTGGTTCCTGTTGCCTGCTTTGGATCCTAAGCCATTGTAATGGCTGTGGGGTCCCAATAGTACGTCTGCAGATCACTCCATGTCACAAAGCAATGGAGTTTCTCCCGGAGGAAAGACTTAGAGGGGTGGGCATTGAGAAGAAGCTGGGAGGAGCACCAAGATGAGGAATCTCCGGGGAGTGGAGGCAAGGTGGGAGGAGGGCTCCTGCAAGACCACGAGCAAGTCTGAAGAGACTGGAATGGAGGAGCTACCTAAGTCCCACTGTGGATACTGGGGTTCCCTGATAGAAAGTGTTCCTTGCAGGTGAGCGGGGGACACGAAGCAATGGAGAAGGGCTAGAATGGAAGGGAAAGAGGGACAGTGGGAAGCATCTAGGGGACCCTGGGTCTGCACCAAGGGGTAGAACGTTCTCTACCCCTTGGGAAACCATATTTTAATCTTTTAAAATATCAAATAAATCAACTAAAAATACATGGAAGGCCTAAGATCAGAGTAGAGAAAAGGAGATCAACCAATATAGCTATGACCCCTCCCTTCTTCTCATTGTTACCATTCTGACAATTATGTATTGCATGTTTCTGGAATTAAATATTTGCTGGCATCAAAATAAATAAAAAATAATTAATTAATTAAAAATTTTAAGTGACCCCTCTCTCCGACTTACGACTTATACTCCCAGACTCCACCCCCCTTCTGCTTGTATCAGTGGAGGAAGTGGGGGAGGGGTGGTAGCAAACTGGAGCATGACAGGCCTGAGGGTCCCCTGGACACATGGTGGCCATGTTGCCTCCCTGATAAGGAAGACAACAATCACCATGGTGATGATGAAAATGACCATGGTGCTTCAGGAGACAGCTCTGTACCAACACTATGTACTTGTTTTTCATACTGTTGATCCTAAAAGGGTTTGAATGAATATGGGGAAAATACCACTTTCAGATGTATTGAAAAGAAAACGAAAGAGCCAGGGAGGGAAGAGCGGTGGACTGTAAGCAGAGACTGCTTGTTCATTTCCTGGCCGCTCGGACCCGGATTATCACACAGAAACTATATTAATTACAACACTGCTTGGCCAATAGCTCAAGCATATTCCTGGATAACTCTTATGTCTTAAATTAACCCATTTCTATTATTCTGTGTGTCGCCACGAGACTGTGGCCAACCAGTAAGATTCTGGAGTCCTTCTCCTTTGGCACCTACCAGGCGTCTCTTTGACTCTGCCTATTCTCTATCTCTGTTCGGATTTCCTGCCTGGCTTTATTCTGCCCTGCCATAGGCCGAAGCAGCTTCATAATCACAGCATGGGGGGGGGGGAAATCCCACGTCAGTGCGCAGGCGCACTGCCTAGAGGCCGGCTGCGGTTTGGAACTCCTCTGACATCTGCAGAGTCTTAGTCGGTGTGAATGGAATCCTTGTTCCTGGGATGTCCACCCTGAAGTCTCCAAGGAGAGGGCACCGTGTCTGCAGCGACGCCAGCGAGACTGTGCTGCTGGGGCGTGTGGGTGCTTTGAGGAGGCCAGAAGCAGTGCGAGAGCGGTTTGGAAGAAGCACTCCCAGGAAGTCAGAAGAAACCTTTGCCCTTGTCAAAGGCGTCTGTCATTTAAAAGCATTCTTAGCAGCCTCCCTCACACCCCGGTCAGTCATTGCTCATTCTGTACCTCCGACCATTCCAGAGAGGGACGCTCTGTCAGAAGCATCAGAAGAAGCTGCAGAGGGGTTGGCAGTTCAAAACTGCCAGGTTACAACAGAGGAACCAGAGAACGAATGGGCTTCACATTCTGAAGCCTGGTGATGCCTTTTTTAGGGCACATCCAACAAATAGTCACATGAGGCTGGAAATGAGGTGCCCTGCTTGAGCTGGCAGCTGTTCTCTTACCTGTTACTGCTGACATTTGAAAAGTCAAAGCAAGTCTGAATTTTAGTGTTCTGCTGCTTGATGGAGCAGTCATTGATTAAGTACTGTCTGAAGTGGTGTTAGGACACAGTGGCAGCATCTGGAATTGCTTTTCAGAGAATTCTGTCCTTCTGCATTGTTTTTGTGTTGACAACCGAACATGGGCAGTCTTGTACCAACTGTGGCGTGCTCACCCTATGCGCCATTTTCAAGTAGATTCGACAATTATATTACTTGTTTTCACACCTTAAAGGCACTTGAAAAATATCTATATCTCTTAGAGGTTTTGAAGCTAGGTGGCTCTTTGAAAAACCCTTCATTCGAATGTCATACTATAACCTTTAAGGCAGGCAGTTGCATGAACCCTATGGAGAAATTTGACTATAAGAGTAATATTTGATACAACTTTTTTCAAGTAAAATTTTTAAGTAAATTTTTAAACAAAATTTATAAAAATTTTATGAAACTCTCTAAAAAAGAGAGAGTCAGGCTCAGGGTTAGAATCATGCCGTTAGTCAGAGTGACTTTATCATCAAGATTAGTGTGACTATAATGTCTGTGTCCATTGCAGGGACACTCTGAGGGCAAGGTGTCTGCCATGGGCAGAGTGACAGCCAGCAGGGGAATCTTATCAGAACTGAAGGTGTGGTTCAAGTTTGCAGTCAGCCTTGGTGAGGGCTCACTCCAGGGCGTAGATAAGGGGGGCTGTAGCTTCGTCTCACCTCCTGCCTATAACCTTCCTCCGGGACAGAGTCAGAGCGTCTCTCACAGAGTCTTTATCCTTGTAGCTAAAGTTGCCTGATTTTTCTTCAATAATGGAATTGAGGTACACAATGATTCAGTAACTTTATTTTTATTTATTTTATTGTTTTGGACTATTAGAGATTCTCCACCTGTAAATATGACACTCCGAGCAGTCTAGATTTTCTTCTAGATAGATGTGGATAAAGAATTAAGAACATGGCCACCACTGAAAGGACCCTCTCAGGTTCACAGGGAGGAGCGTCTGGTGTTTAGTCATTCACCTTATTAGACAGACCAATTCTTTATCGTCTTCCCTGTTCTGAACACTTGAGGACAGGGTACCTTCATGCATTACAGAAAGACTGTCTTCATGCATTAAGGTCAACTAAATTAGGACTCATCTTTACAGGTACATTGAGCACAGTAACAACATGAATAAAATAACTTCCTTATCTGGTTCCTCAATGATTCCTACACCCACCTGCACTCTACTCCAGGTCCTGACCCAGGTGTCAAGCTGTTTTCTGTCCTCTGTGCAAAGGCACCAGATTCCCATTGACAGCCTGAGACTTCCCAAGGAGTCCGGGGAAAGTCTCCAGCCACCGTGAAAACCAGCTATCCTCAGAGGAGCATGCATCCTGCTTCCCTGGAAAGCTGCCACTCTTAGTAAGTAGGGAGTGACCTCCAGTAGGAAGGTTGGAAGGATGCTGGGACACTCTTACTCTGAGCCAGTTCTAACCCCATACCCACCTCTCTCTCTCAGAAATTCCTGTCTGTGTTGTCAGGCTTTCATGGAAGAATGAACTGTGGTCTTAAGTTTTTGTCTCATTTTTCCCCCCCTAACCTGGCTCTGTATCCACCCAAACTTCCTAAAGTAAAGAGTCTGGAGCTCAAAGGAAAAGGAACCCTTAGTCTGTGAGTGACAGGAGACATCTAAAGCAGTTGGTAAGCTGACTGCTTCTGTTTCTGGGACCTGGGATCTATACTGGGTGATGACTGAGCCCAAGGTAAGGATTTCCCACCTGATGGGTCCCAACATCCTATCCTGCTGCAAGTGACCACGCTACTCCTCTGAGTGTCCGTGAGTGCTTTGTAATAGAAGGTTCTAATATATTGTCAAGCTGGAGCTAAAGGAGATAGAAATGTAAGGCAAAAGACCTGGCAAAAGATGAGCCAGGGGCTCGGCTAGACAAGCAACTCTGGAAGTAGCAATTTATAGAAGACTTGTATCTGCTTTTCTTTTTTCGATTACCTTCCTCACCCAGAACTTTCTCTTTGGTTCCTGACTGGCTGAACACACACCAACATCCTCCTCTAGCATTATCTAGTGTTTTCTTAAAGCTACCAACCTCTACTGGACTGAATTAAACCTCTAAAGTATTTTTTTAAAGTGTATAATTAAGAAAAAGTGATCAAATGCACCCACATCCAGGAACGATGGGAAAAAGAGCCAGGAGTCAACAAATTCGTATTGGTCTTTATTGAGATGTCAAGGTCCAGCAACGTCATGAGAGAATAGTCTGGAGACATAATCCAGAGCCAAGACTACAGGGTTCTCAGATGTGATACCTTCAGCCTTCAGGCTATGAGGAAGGTAGTTCACTGTTTGAGGGCTCTCTGCTCTTCAGAATGGTCCTATATTTGGTCAGAAACTGACTGCCCAAAGTACTCAGCTCTTGCTGGAGTTCTTGCAGCGCCTTGTCTTTTTCCTGCTGCTCCCCAAGCACGTGGCTCTTGTAGTAGTTGATGTACAAGTTTACCCAGTCATCCACCACAGTCACCATGCTCTCTTCAGGGATGAGAGGGTCGTTAAAGACCTGGGGGCAGGGAGAGAAGGGAGAGATTGGCCAAGGAGAATGTGGTCAGCGATACGGAGTGCCAAGACGGTCTTATAAACGCCCACAATCTCTTTTCTTGGATTTGCATTCTGTTTCTAGACATTTGGACCAATGCCACCATTGCCCTTACAGTTTCAAATGAACCTCCTCTGCCCTCCCATTGCACACTCTCCCCATCTGTCTTTTCAAACAGTGCCCGGGCTCACCTGCTGATTCAGCAGAACGTTAAACTCCTTTATTCCTGTAGAAATCAGTTCCTTATTGGTCTGGAAAGGGGCCATCTGTCAGTTAAAGAAAGGAGGTAAAATGTATCCTTTTCCCTCACACCGGGGTATCCTCCCCAGCTCTCCCCCACCCCAAACATCCCTCATGGCTGAAAGGGACACCTCCTTTCTAAGCCCTGCTCTGTGTGGAAGTCGCATTTCTACCGGTATAGGCTCACCTTCAAGTCCAAAGGTGCTGAACTTGCCTCAGCCACACTTTTCAGGGTTAGTGTGTCCTCTGCACTGAGCTGGATGTAAGCAGACTCCAGAGCTAGCTTAAGACGGAAACGCCCTGCTTTGAGGTCCTGAAGGAGCGTGATAGGTCGTCCTGGGGTGGGGACGGTGGGCGGTGAGGCTTCTCTGGAGCTAGAAAGATAGAGAGACCATGAAAAAAAATAGATAAATGAAGACAGAAAATGCAAGAAACAAACCAGGAACATATATATGCTTGTCCTTTTCCCTATAATCCCAAACCAGTCTCTGACTTCTAAGGAAATTAACATTTACTGGACCCCATTACGTAATGGGCATTTTTGCATTATACACAGTATAATAGCACTGGTTTCTCCATCTACAGCATTCATATTCAGAGCAGTTTAGAAGCCAGACTACAATCCCACATGCAGGAGGCATGGAAAGGAGAATCAAGTCAAAGGCCAGTCCCAGTTCATATTCAAACAAAACCTTGTTCTCAAAAAAAGAAGTTTATGACACATTCTTTGCCGTTTTATGTATTCTTTTATGCCAGACACTTCTTCAAGCATATATTAAATATTTATCATTATAAAAAGTCCCTTCAGAAAATATAGGATATATTGGGGCTTTTTCAACTACAAAGAAAAATGAAATTATGTCTTTGCCTCAGGAGAGCAAAAGAATCTTTGAATACTTGCACTACCTCCAAATAATTCATAACATCTAAATAGCTATGTATGGGGCTGGCAAGATGGCTTCTTGGTATTTGCTGTCAAGCCTGATGACCTGAGTTCAATCCCTGGGACCCACATGGTAGAAGGGGAGAAATGATGCCCAGAAGTAATCTTTTGATGTTCATATGCAGACCATGGTGTATATGCATCTCTCTTTCTCTCTCTCACTCTCTCTCACTCTCTCTTGTGCACACAAATAACTAATTATCTAAATATATAAATAGATAAATATAATATGTACCACTTACCAAATCTGACATAGACACCTACACATATAATCTGTTTAGCCCTCACCCTCACTTATCTGGTATGTACTAGAGTTGTTTCCACTTTTAAGAGGGGGAAATTGAATGCCAAAGAAACAAATAACTTTCCCAGGATCTCACAGTTACAACCTCGCATGTCAAGCAAGGCCGTTGAGTGAACTCATTCACAGAACGTGGCTTTGGGGTTGGTTCATTCACAGAAGCTAGAATAAAGCACACAGCACGGTGTTCGGTAACTTGACTTCTTCCCTCCTCCTGGGATCTCGATTCTTCACGAAAGTGCTACTGTTTAGCTCAACCTTAGACAGACTCTGTGTGGGGTCAGATACGGTGGCACGGGTTGGCAGGGTGCTTCTAGCCACAGTTCATGATGAAGCCAGCAGTCCTCGAGAATCAGAAGTTTCCAGAATGGAGTTGTTATCCAGGGCAGTGGCCATGGAATGCCAGACTAAGGAACAACGACATCTTGTTTTCTGATTTAAAGAGAAAAAAAGAAGATGCTTTTGGCAAATTCCTACTTTAGGGCCAGTTCGCTAAAGTAAGCCAGAAGGAGGAGGACAAAGAGAAGGGGTGAGTTTGGAGAAGGGAAACCCTGTGACTTAGACTCTCCTCCTGACTCCACGGAGCTCCCCCGTGAAGAGAAACACACAAGACTTCCCCGTGCTTAGGCTGTGTTCTGACAGTATTTCTGCCGTGCCTCGATGTTCTTACCCCCCGGGTCCTTAGAGGCCTTTTAGAAATAATATTCTAATCTGGGGAAAGCTGAAGAACAGAGAATTTATTCTCGCAGCGTTAGTGAACCAAGCTGTCTGCTTGCTACTTGACAAAACCAATGATTCAGGGAAAGTACTTGGGCAAAGAAAAAAGTTTGTTTGGAAAGCCAAGGAAACAAAGAGGCTAACTAACGCCAATAAAAACCATCTGGTGTGGAGGGGGTTTGTAGAGAAAGAAGAAGAGCAATAAGCAAGAAAGAGCTAACCGCTGAGGACATTTTTAAAATAAAAAACTTGATGCTGAGTGATTTCCTGGTGCCACTTCAGAGGCCCTAGTTGGTTTAGTTACTCTTAATCTTGTTGTTTTGGGCCTTGGAAGGGAAGGAAGCAAGTTTAAGTCAAATCAACCTTGGTCTAGACAAAGTAGCTCTTAATGACTAATACATCTGCATGCAGATTTGGGCAGAAATGGTCTGAATCAAGATTAAGGTAGCAAAGAACGCAGAGACCTGGTAAAGATGACATTTTTACTGGATCTTGCTCTGTTTCCACCCCGTGCCCTAGTCCTTGTGTTTTCTATTAAGTGAATTCAGGTAAGACACACAGAGTGTAGCATAGAAAATAGAGCTTTGTGTGTAATAATAAGGGTTGAGGGTGGGCAATGGCCAAAGAGCCATAGTAAAGCACTCTCACAGAGTGAGAATGGACAGTGTCCAAAGAGACCATTGCGGAGGGTGCGCTCTCAAGGGGCAGGAATGGACAATGGTCAGGGGGACTGTATGTATCAGCCTACATGTTTAGGGGGGCTATCACAGGACAGCTGCAAATGTCCAAACAGCGCTTGGCTGGGCAGTCTGGGGCTCTCCTCGGTCCTAGCTCACTTTCCTTCTTGGCAGAGCCGTCGCTCTTTCTTAATGAGTTGTCTACTTCTCTTCCACTCCTAATTTAAAAGGCACAGCTTTCTCCTGTTTCTTCTGGTGGCTGCCAGGATCTCCGCCCATCCTGTTCTATGTTTCCCTCTTAAATTAATAAATTTTTCCTCAAGATTCCTGTTCATTCCACTTCTAAATTCTTTTATTAAAAAAGATTTTATTACCGCCCCCCCCGTGTGTGTGTGTGTGTGTGTGTGTGTGTGTGCGCGCGCGCGCGTGCGCACAAGTACACATCCATGTGCTTGCCCTGGAGGCCAGGAAGAGGGTGTCTGAGCCCCTGGAGTTGGAGTCACCAGTCGTTTGTGAACTGACATCAACACAGGGAACCAAATGCTGATTTTTCTGGAAGAACTGCAGGCGTTTAACCACCAAGCCATCTCTCAGCCTCTAAATTCTTTTAATTAGGGAGATGAAGTTCCCATGGGAACTTCAGTTTCCCCAGTAACAAAATAACAACAAATGCTTCCAAAGAACCCTCCTGTGCTGCTGGTGAGAATGTAAACTTTTGCAGCTGCTGTGAGAAGCCAAGGGGAAAACAACAGAAACCACGGCATGGTTACCGCTCTGCTGAAGTAGGCAGACAGCAAAGGACGCCGGGTCCTACCGCAGACATACTAGTACATCTGCGTTTACGGCAGCATTACGTACAACAGCCAAGGGATGGAGTCGGCCTGGCGCTCTGTCAGTACACAAATGGGTAACAAAATGTGGCATCACGGTGGAATTTTATTCTGCCACAAAGAAAAGTGAGCCAATCATGACATTTGGAGGAAAATGAGTTTAAGACGTTCGGAAAGACAAATACCCCATGTTTTCTCTCATATGCGATCCCTAGATCTGCACTTTTATATGTGTGTATGTGTGTGGGAGGAGGTATAGGTCGTGAAGTTAGAAATAGGACCATGAGGAGGGAAAAAGGGATCTTCAAGAGAGTAGAAAGACAATCACAATCATGTGACATAAAAGCCACAAGGTATGGGGTGGGGGTATGTGTGTGTATCCAATAGGGGTCAGGCAAGAAAATGGGGAGGCAGGTGTGAAGGAGAGGCAATAGGAAGAAAGTATGTATAATAATGCTATAATGAAGCTCATTAAGTCTCAAGGCAATTTTAAGTTTTTCAGAAGCTATATTGTCCCAGGCCTCACTGAGAAAAAGAAAGAAAGAAAGAAAGAAAGGAGAAAAAAAGAAAAGAAAAGGAAAAAAAAGAGCATTTGGGACCCAGAGAAGGATACTTTTCAAATTTACACAGATAAAAGTTTGAGATCTGATTGATGACAACTCTTTCCACAGCAGTCTGAGTTCCAAGATAGTATAGGAAGATGATTGCCCCTCTGCGGCCGCCGTAGTCAAACAGGAAACGTTATTCGTCCCGCTTTTTGCCGCGTTGGACTTTTACCGTCCAGCTGAGCCTGGGGATGGCTGACTCTACGAGCTTGCGAATGCAGCTGTGCACGGAACAGTTCGGCTCCCGAGCTCCGCGCGGCTGCCGCGCTGCCGCCGACGGGAGCCTGCAGTGGGACGGGGCTCGGCGCTGGGACTGGCTCTCCCGGGCAGCGAAACCCGGGCAGGACGCGGAAGGCGGGGGACCCTGGGCAGCGCTACCGGCGCTTTCGGGCCTCAGGGCCGTGCTGCTGCCTCAGGGCTTCCCAGATAGCGTCAGTCCGGACTACCTGCCCTACCAGCTGTGGGATTCCGTGCAGGTGCGGCCGACCGGCTGCCGTGGCGGGTGGGGGTGTCGGCAGCTTATAGCTGGGGACCAGGGGAACAGGCCCCTGCGGTCTGCATTTGCACATGGAAGGCTGGCGTGCACCGCAGAGTCCTGACAGTTTTTCAGGTCACATACCACTGGTGAGAGCTGGTATAGTACAGCAGGCTTCCGTGTTCCCGCGACCACCCCTCACTCCGCTTCTTCTCTCTCCAGGCCTTTGCTTCCAGCCTCTCCGGCTCCCTAGCCACCCAGGCAGTGTTGCAGGGCTTAGGGGTAGGCGACGCAAAAGCCTCTGTTTCTGCTGCCACGTCTACCTGGCTCCTGAAAGGTGAGCCAGAGCCCGGGAGCCTTACGTGTTGGTCTCACACACACACACACACACCCGCCTTCTCTGGCCTCTTTTTCCTCCACTGCAAACCCTAGTACTGCCGTTCCGCAGCGTTCTGATCCCCAACAGTGACTCTGGTGTGTGTTTGTGGGTGGTCTGATGTCTGATGAGACTGTACACAGAAGCCACGTATCCCCATGCATGCCTAGAACAGTATTCTGGTTGCCCGTTGCTGGAATATGGTCATCAGTGAATGAACCCAAAAGACGCAACTTGTTACCCTTGCAAACTTCAAAATCTGGATCCCTCATCCTTAAATTAACTTTAAACCTACTTTGTGCGGAATTGCATAAAAATGCAGTTTATTACATAAAGCTGCCAGCTTCTCAGGATGGTGAAAATTAGATACTTCAAGTGGGGAAAAGTGGACGTAG